TCGCTTTACGATGTTTTCGTTCTACAGCGATTTCGCTGGAACGAATTAACATCGTAATGCGAGGCACCACTGTAGTATGTACTCCAGGAAGGCCAAATCCAGCTCTTTGTTTGGTATCTTCCATAGCTTTAGTTTAATTCTTCTTTTTTTATTTTGCCAAATAAATTTCAGCACCATCTTAGTGAGATCTTGAAAAATGTTTAATACTGAGATAGTCTGGAAAAGAAATAGTATTCTGGGAAGAATGTTCATCTTCATTGTCGCTATTCTCTCCATCAAGGACAATTGTAGATTCTGCCATTTTTTGAGATCCTTCTGGATATCGTTGAGTAGTTTCATGTAGTTATCTTTTACTAGTGTACTAGGTTTTTTTGTAATTTGTGTTCCTAAATAGTTAATCTTTTTCTCAACTTGGAAATCATTTTTTTCATTAATTCCATTCTTGTCTCTTCTTTGATATCATTAATTCCATTCTTGTCTCTTCTTTGTTCTTGACTAGTATTTTTGTTTTTCCCCTATTTACTTTCATCCCAGCTAACTCTCCAAAAGTTGCTAATATTTCCATCACTGGTATTATTGATTCAGTTGGTTCTTCTAATATAAAAACCAGGTTATCTGCAAATGCTTGTAATTTGTATTCTCCTCCTCTTATTTTTAATCCTCTTATCAACTCATTACTTCTAATTTGATTCTTAAGCACTTATAACGTAAGGATGAAAAGTAGTGGAGACAGGGGGCATCCTTGTCTTGTTCCTTTTTACAACTGTATTTCTTTTGTTAGTTCTCCATTGATTTTTACTTTAGCAGTTTGTTGTGCATAAATAGCTCTTATTAGTTTTATAAATCTTTCCCCAGATTCTATTACTTCTGTATGTTGTGGTATGAAGTTCCAAATAACATTGTTGAAAGCTTTCTCCGTGTCGCGGAAGATATCATAGCCATTTGTTTTTCCGTATGTATTTCATAGTATTCTAAGGTGTTCAATATTATTTGTTTGTTTGTTTGTTTGTTTGTTTGTTTGTTTGTTTGTTTGTTTGTTTATTACCCCGTCCATCTAGACCAGTGGTCAGGGAACTTTTTTACCTTTTACCCCGGAAAAAATTTATATACGCCGACATTACCCCCTTGATTCGAAAGGAAGGAAATCATACATTATTTGAATTAAAAATATTATTGAATCTACAGAGGCTGTGTACCGAACTAGCAGGGTGCACCAAATTTGATAAAG